AAGAAAGAATTTAAACATTAATTAGCAAATTGATCCACTGATGAAATTTTAGGAGGTCAATATGTAGGCAATTCGACCTCCGTGGTGTTGAAGTACCATTACGTCTATGCCACAAACTCATCTATTAGAGGTCTTCAATGATGTTCGATTTGAAGCGGCTGTCAATAGAACTCCTCACTATGGCAGCCATGAGAATAGTGAGTTAAGAGCGCTTGCTGAGGGCTAAGCGCTGTCAGAGATTGCTTTGATGTCCAAAATGTAAGGTTAATCACAGATGGTACCAGAGGCGACACATTCCTACTTCTCCCTATGTGGATCATTCCAACCTTAACTACAACAACGCATTAGCAAAATACTTCAATTTAATCACACATTTGTAAGTAAAGTCAACTAATAAATAAAAGCCTAATTTGGTTGTTTTCTGCCTTTAAACATTTGATAATTGTTGCCGTGGCGGAGAAGCGAGAGAGGTATAATAGAATTTTACTCGTCATGATGACAAACGCAACCGGAATGACATATGGCAAAGTCAGTTTCCACCTTAATAGACGAAAGCGTCTGTCCAGGCAACCACATATTATCTGTGTTCGAACAAAAAATGTTAATCATTGCTCTCACAGCCAACTCATTTTGCATGCAGATGGTCCTTGCAAAACGAAACATGAGAGGACCGACGCGTCTAGCAATAGCTACGATTGCGTACTCGCAAATGTGTGGACGCATGTTGATCGTATTGAGTAGCCAGGTTTCTTGACGCTTTGTCTTCATATCAGCGCACATTGTAATAATGTAGCGTTGAATTATAAAGATTAGATTGCGTATAATCACTCGGATGATATTTCGAGTCTTGTTCTCCGTCACCATGTAGAGGTCTTGAAAAATACGCATGTTGAAGAGATTTGTTAGACGCAGTCTATCTTGTCTGGAGATATTATTGCAGCAGTAGGTTCTTTGAATGAACTGGGTGATATCTGTGGAGTAGTCCTCCAGATTTGAGGCAATGTTTTGCTGCAATGATTCCGAATCTGCACAGAATCCTGTAGCTTTTTCGAATAGGACATGAATAATATGCATGCAGTAGGGATGAACTGGTTCAAGAAGGGAAAGCCTTCGAAGTAGATTGCAGGTCTTTTCAGACAGCGGGAAGAGAGGTACTTTTAAACGTTGGAGAATAAGCAAAATTGACTCGAAGAGCAACCGGGCATTCTTTGAAAGCAACTCCTGGCGGCAGTCAGCATAAGTTGTCACTTCGTTAAGCAACCAGTTTACTAGTTCTCCTGTTTCTTCTGCCAAGTTTGGAGGGTTAAAAGGCGCTGAGGGGCTAAAATCATCAATGAAACTGCGACCCTCTTTTAGTTCGAGTTCGTGAAGGTCGCGGAGGCAGAGCAGCGTAGCACCTAGGCTGATAGGAATTTCGATAGGATAACCACTGGAGGTTCGGGTCCAGGGAGCCACCAATGAGGACTCAAAAGCCATGGTTGGAAGTTCATCGAAATCATCCTCGGAGATGGGGAACAATAAAGGTGTTTCAGTCGTCTCGTACATGCGGAAATCGTAGCCCACGTGCCGCTTGGAAGCGATCAATTAACTTCGTGGTGGTGCGGATTCGTAAATCTTCTGTTTGATTTATCTTCGGTGGTTGGGTTGGATTCCGTGAGCTTTTAGAAAATCAACCATAAATTAATATTTTTTATTTATTTAAGGTTTGTCTTACCTTATTCATTACATTATAAGGATATTATGTCAATGCAACAAAAAAGCAAAAATGTTGCACTTTTTTTGAATGACAAAAAAGCTTTATCCACTCGTTAGGTGCTGATAATCTATGTTGTTACTCATGTATCCTAAATATATAACCATATTAAAAGAGGATAACAAAAATTTTTAAAATACGATGGGACTATCTATATTCACAATACATAGCACAGAAAAGGACTTCCCTGAAGACGAAATAAGACACAATACTCGGGCAGAATATATATTCAGCACAGATAAGGTGCTTGGGCTACTGGCATGGCCCAAAGGCCAGCCCACCCAGCCTGGTACAAGAGGGATAATTCAAAAGTCCACAAGTGGCGCCTCACTAATACCGAGGGATAAACCACCATCGTATTACAGAACTGTATTTTTATGGAAACAGGTTTTTGTTAGAATGCTCGGATTCGGCCGCGGGTTGTTTGAATTCGGTTGGGACGAACTGATCAGATGTTTACAAAAAACGCGACGGTTAATTAAAATTCCTTATTATTTATAAAGTCAATGTGTGAGAGTCTATACAGTTAAGCAGCGATGGTTCTATTTCATCGAAGAAATAGTCAAAATTAATGGAATGCGAAAACTTTTGTAAAAAGGTTATATTGCTTGATTATAAATAAGGCCTGACCACTAAAAAACTGTTTGATAATTTAACATATTTTACTAGGAAATCATTGCTTCGGCTTGCTGCATTTAGTAATCCAGGAGAGACGAATGCGTAAACTCGATACGCCTTGCTGCCTACAAAATCCATCTCAAACGGCAGTTTTAAATAATCTTTTGTTAGTTTGCTCGTTTAACAAAGCACTTTGGGATACTTTTTGCAGTTTAAGATGCGTGAGTAAGAGTTATAAATGACTTGCCACTCGGCGCGGTACCCTCGAAATCTGTGGGTGCTCATTACACGTCAACTTAATAAGTCATTGTGATGACATCTCCATCAAAAGCTGATATAGATGCTATTCTTTCCTCGTTACTTTCAAGGTCCGAGAACAAGGCAAGTGTGTTTTATTCTTCTATATCCTTAGACATGCTTTGACTGTTCCTCAGGTAACCCAACGTGGGCCAGTGTCACCTACGGCGTTTTTGTCTGTATTGGTTGCTCTGCCGTGCACAGATCCCTAGGAGTTCACTTAAGCTTTATTCGCTCAACGCAACTGGATACAAATTGGACATGGCCCCAACTAAGGGCAATGCAAGTTGGTGGAAACGGGAAAGCGGTACAAGTTCTATTTTCCTTGATCATTTCTCCCCCAGATTGCCTTTTTTCAACAATATGGTGGTATGCTGGATGATATCAAACAGAAATACGCCAGCAGGGCGGCACATCTATACAAAAACAAAATCGAAAAGTTGGCAAATGATGCCATGAAGGTCTACGGAACACAGGTAAGACTTACTACGGTTCTTTATGAGTCCCTTTTAGCTCGCCATTGTAATAGAAGGCAAATCGGCTGCTCGGCAGAGGGAAACAGATTCGTTTCAGGAGAGCAAAAACTTTGCTTTAGAAGGCTTCTCTGGAATGAGTCTTTCTGGTGCTGCTCTCTTGAAGAAGCCTCTTGTTAATCTAAGTGGTGAGGTTTTAATTTTCACTTTTTATTTGAGTTAATTGTATGATAGGTGTCTTTTGAAATAATTTGACATCCTGGGTGTCGTTTTGATCGTAGTGACATAAGTGCATAAAGTGCGAGTCACCATGATGCTCTTCCATGAACGAACATGGTGATTTATCGTAGGTTTATTAGTTAGATGTGAATTTGGTAGCATATGGTCATAAAATCTCGGCTATACATCCCAGACATTTTGTTTGCAGGTTTCTTTTTTTCTAGATTCTAATCCGCATTCTGATGCTGGAGCCAGTTTGTCGTCGGGATCAGATAGTCAGAGAGTGATGCTGAAACCAAGAAAAGGAGGCGTAAGTATCATGTCGACTTTTGGCTTGCTTTTATAAGATCACGTGACTTTATCTCAAATTTATTCCGCTAGGTTAATGACGAGGAGCAATTTTTACATTGAGTTCTTAACTTAGAAGGTCAGAATTTTTGTATGTTCTGTGCATTGATGGTGATCTAATCAATTTAGTGCATGTCTAGAGAAAAGTCGTTGTACGTCTCCATTCTAAGTGAACTTATGTGGTCGTTTATTCTGGCCTTCATTTCTAAATTTTTAGGTTGTCATTACGCTAGCTTGTTATTCAGAGATAATGTCTGGTGTTGATAGCTTTCATGTTAGGCTTCTAAATTCGTATCCTCCAAACGGTAACCCGATGGGCATCGTGCTGACTGTAACTTGGTAGTACTCTCATTAGACCTCTTTCCTCACATACTTGGTTAGGTTCCGAATTTTTTTTCATCATGTGGCGCGATTAAAAGGAAATGAAATGATCTAGTGTACTACTTTAAAGTGCATTACTTTAATGACTTTAAATCTGTGTCATCAGAGTCAGTGATATATTTTATCAAATTTCGCTTCAATTTTGAATGCGTTCATCACTTTCAATCACTCTCTTGGTAATTTACTCGTCAATCTTTTGTATTTCATAATTGGTTATTTTTGTGAAAACATGTGGGCTGAGGTGAGTTCGTGCATATAAACTTAGCAAACAAGTTTATGTAACTTCCATAAGTTGAAATTAACTGATGCTGGAAAGCTACTCAGAAATGTCTATCGCCTACTGAAATAATCACCATTACTATTTACGACCCCTTCTCAGGCGTTCTGCGTTTGTGGAATTTTTGATATTTAGAAGCAAATAAGCTATTTGTAAGTGCGTTGGTTTCTATCAGACTTTTGTGTCTCAGTCGTCTATATCACATGGGATTATGCAATGCCGAGATGATAATTACTTGGAGATGTGGGTATAAGGGAGTGTCCCGCTCTAGTCCGCTCATTTCGAAGTGCGAATCTGTTTTGCGATATGACTTACGAATAGTTCTTTCTTGTTTAATATCCAGAACTTAGTGGTTTCTGTCCGATGCGTTTCGATGTGTGATTCCTGCATTATTTGATGTCTCTGTTCTTCACCACGATGAACAGAGGGTCTCCCTGAACACAATGTACCTATCTATAAATGCCTCACCATCACAATAAAAGTAGCTATTTAAGGCCGTTCTGGGTGGTTAGTTCTGCTAAGGACATTGAAACCGGGTTAATTCGGTTCGTCAAGCAGAAATCGATTTATTAGTGAATGTGAGTGCTTGCTTTCCACTAGTATCAAAAAATTATAGCAAGTCTTGGCAGCGAGCCACCCTGATAACTCCTCCAACTTTGTTGGCTACCTAAGTAAGTGTTGTTTAGGTCCTTTTTTGACAGTTTAAGCTATCTACTCGAATTTATAATGCATAGTGTGACTATGCTCATCAAAATGACTTAGTACTACTTGAATGAAAGGCGTATGTGACATAAACACCCATTGTAAAGGAAAGCAGACAGTGGATGTTGACCATTCATCTACCGGAAGGGCAATGTCGAAAGTCAAGTTACCAATATTTCCTACTTATTTCATTAAAGTAAAAATGGCGGAATTGCCTTGTCTCTAAACCTTTTTTATCACTGCTTTCTAACACTGTTTTCTTATTCTCGTGTTGAAATGACTGCCTGTAACAACTTAATCTCCCAATTCAGTCTAGAATATCTTTGACGGTCAGCTTAAGGCATGCTTGATTTTAATGAGTTTGTTTTTCAGTCAGGTGTAGTGAAACAGGTTGCATTTTTCTTCTTCACAATGGTATTGAAAAAGAATTATGTTCCAATTTTAACCGTCACATATAATGATCTAGCTTTAGAATTTTGCCTTAAGATCTTACCGCCTCTGGGTTTTACGAGATGTTTGAGTTAACTACCTTAATGCTAGTCAGTCGTCATCTGCTCCTCTGCCTATCATTGCGCTGGGGCAGACCACAAGATCTCGTGACATTCTTGATGTAATGCGCCATAAAGAACTACAATTTACTATTTTCCCTTACATTTAAGACCCATTTCGATACTTTATCTCGAAGGAATATGTGGCATTGTAGTTCTTTTCGATCGCACTCGTCTACCTGAGATCTCTCGTTTTTTCATCCAAATTTTGAAGAAATTGAAACTAGTTCCCCTGGTAAACGCGTCTTTTGCGACCTCAGTAGTAAGTGAAGACTCGGTACAAGTCCTGCTGTAGGTATAACTGCCATTTTGAAGGAGGGGTAAATACCATTATCGCTTCTTTATTATCATAGTAATCGATTTCGGGTATCTCATTCTTATTTTTGACTTATTACT